CAAAAACGGCTTAGAGCCAAGAAGATGAACTCTGAATTTGACGAGAGCATACTTCATTGCAATTCGCTCTTTTTCATGATCATGATAGTTCTTCTCAGCATCTTTCAGCTGTAGGGACTCAAACGCAATGACACGCTTTCGTTCCTCAATATCTGTTTGTAACAGAGCACTGCCTATGGCAAAGTCAGATGCGTCACAGAAGACACTAAAAGGGAGATCAGGATCAGGCAAAGCCAAGATTGGTGTATGAAAGATAATAAGTTTAGCAGCTTGAAAATACCAAGCTCGGTGCTAGTTCAGCACCATTCCACATCTTTTTAAGGAGATTGAATAATGGCCGAGCCATGTCTCTTCAATTTGCACTGTACTTGTCTAAGTAATTGGCAAGACCAAGCCAATTACGTAGGTCCTTTTGGTTCGTTGGAACCATACAATCAACTATCGCTATTACCTTAGTGGGATCCGCTCAAAGTCCTCGTTTCCCAATGAATCATTTCAGAAGGGAATCTATTCTGCACAAAAGATGCACTTAGACGCGTTGGCGTACAACTTATTCGTGCGCATGCACTAGAGCACCGCTCCTAAATGGTCAATGTAATTGTCTACATCTGACCGAACGTTCATAGCACGACTATGGACAAAGATGTCTTCAAAGTACGTCTGTGCATATCCTCGGTGAGGTCGGAACAATTGTGTCACAAGACGATTAAATGTAGCCAGGGCATTTGATAACCCTTGCGGCATAACAAGCCACTCCCAGAACATACCGCTCGGAGTGCTGACCGCTGTTAGCGGAATGTCGCTTTCTCGCATGAGAAGCTGGTAATAACCATCGACTAAGTCGAGCGCACTGTACATTGTACATCCCACCATGTTGTTCTGAAGAACATCCTTCCTCGGAATTGGTGTCTGAGCCGGGATGGTGGCCGCATTAAGCTTATTGTAAGCATGAACAATGCGCCACTTCCCATTGGGCTTTTTGACACAGAAGGTCGGTGTTGAATGGGGAGATTTGCTCTCACGTACCATTCCTGCCTCGTGCTTTGCACGAAAGAAGTCGTCAATGACGTCACACTGTTCCTTCGGTAAAGGTCACTGCCGTGTTACGCAGTATTTAGTTCCAGGAACCAAGTCAATTTTATGACGTAAACCTCTATCGGGAGTCAAAACGGACGGTAAGTTGTGACACACTTTGTCCTGAAACTCCTTTACCAAAGGATAGAACGGATCAAGAGGATCCTTAAGGATCGACGATCCACTACGGGCATTCAATGCCGCCTTAATCTCCTTAAGGACAAACTCTTCCAATAATGAGGATAAGTTCAACTCAATATCCGGCCGAATGACCACTAACTCGGATAATTCTCCTGCCTGTAAGGCTTGGCTAAATTCGCCGTCAGATATTTCGTCTGGGTCAAAGAGAGTACCCAAGGATGGAAAAGTCTCAGGACTAATATTGGCATCAATCTGGCCAGTCAATTCATCGACAAGTTTGTATAGTGTATTATTACTATTATCACTTAGTGACTTCTTAGACGTCGAACGCTTAACAGTTGCCACCCTACGCTAGGATTTTTTCCTCAAAGAAACCTTACGCCTCCTAGAGGCCGGGGAAGTAGGGTCCCCGTGGTTGCTATTCATCTTAGCACGCTCTATACGAGGGCTCATGTCTTAAACGACATCTGGTGAAGTGTTACGTAACTCGAACACTTCAACCACTTAATTTACACGTACCACTTCACGTACAGCATCCGGTCCTAGCCCTGAACACTGGCTTCTCGCCATCAATGTCATTACCGACATTCAGTGAGGTGCCACCTCAGCCACCCTCAATCGGTGTAATATCACGTGCCACCCCACTCACATCAGAGGAATCACATTCTTAATGTCTCGGCCCTATTCCAACCATGCCTGCAGCATGCAGCGACTTATTATCACAACGAGTATCACTCAACGGAGTATAACTCCCTTCACATACGGTGAAAGAGCTCCGCTCAATATTGATGTCATTGACATTGGAGTTCATTAACTCTGACATACCAATGTCCAGCACATTGACATCTTCCGTCAATGGCTCGCGCCAATAGCGCTTTTGTTGCCTAGCAAAGGTGGGTTCATGACTCTCCAAAGCATCGCTAGGAACATTGCGCGTGGCGCCTAAGGTCTTAGACCTCCAAAAAACCCATGGCTCATGGCGTTCAAGCCAAGCCATACCCAGGATGAGATAGTATCTCGAATCCAAATTGAGGACAAGACAGCGTTCAATGCTTTCAAAGTCCAAAAACTTTACACCTAAGTTCATCAAACTTTGGGCAACGTGACGCGACTACCAATCGCTAAACAAACGGTGATCGAATCACCTTCATGCGCCCTGCGCGCTCCAGCATATCGCTGACTTCCCTCAAGGACACGACGTCGAGCATAATTGCATGATGCTCCGGAGTCGATTAGGATCGACTAATTCTTTGCAAAGCCTTTATCTTTCGCCTAGGCGACTAACAATCCAGGCTTGTATCCACGCTCTGTGCTGGTGGGCACATAGCTCGGTGGGGCTAAGCGTTGTTTAACTCTACCTCGTAGAGAAGCAACAGAACTTAGTTCTACCCCAGTAGGGCGCCCCGCACCAACTGGGTGTCGACGTTTCCCCGTACCATACCAGGTTTCTGGTTTTGGCTGGGGTTTCGACCCATAGGAGTCGGGTTTTGCTTACGCAAAGGACAGGTGGGACGCAAGTGTTTAGTGCTTCCGCACATATAACAGCGTCTCAGTTCCTGTCGTTGCTCTGCAACATGAAGCTCCGCTTCACCTTCATCTTCAGCATGGCTGAGATCCATCGGTTCTGGCTTACAATAAGCCGGGGTGCTCGCAGGTATTGCCCTCGCAAAGCTTGGGTCGTACCCATTCCAACCAAGTCTGGACGACTTGAAGTTGTGCTCATCATTTTGAGCGATGCTAACAGCTTCCTCAAAAGTAGAGGGATGGACACGAAATCCCTCGATCCTGGCAACGCCATTACGAAGACCTTCCATGAAGACAGTCACATAGACTGTCATAGAAAGAGGGTCAGACTGCATAGCAGCCATAAGAGTTCTCAACTATTGGACATAGTCCGTTAACTCATTCTTACCCTGACGGGTAGACAAGAAGCGTGACCGCACGCGATAAGCCTAAATAGGCGGCGATAAAACTCGCAAAAGGTCTAACTTGAGCGAATCCCATGTGGGAAGCACCAAGTCGACCGACGTGCCGCACGTCAGAGCTCACTCTCTAGCTCTTCCATCGAGCTTTGGGATCGCCAGCGAGACCCACTGGTTCTCGAGTTTGATAAGGCCAGAGCTCATGGCCATCTCAATCTCACGGATACACAGGGTGAGATTACTCCCTCCTTCCCGGAGTAATGTTTTACGTCCACCCGAACGGGACGAGGCTTAGCCTCTTCTGGTGGCATTGCCACGGAGCGTGTTGGCATAGCCGACGCTACTTGGTTTTGAACCTTCCCTAAAAGGGCCATTTCATTCTGCATGAAGGCCTCGACTCGTGCATTGAGCACATCGGGACCTTGTGCATCTAGAAACTCCGCATATTCTGGGCCTACGGCCGCGGTCAGCTTATCAAGCGCGACCTTTTGAGCCTCAGAGAGATGTGTGGATTTCTCCATCCTCACAGAGGATCAGTCGTTACCGATTCAGGCGTGGATTGACTACGAGTGCTACCAGGTTTAGCGGAGCTACGCAGCTCCTTAAGTCAGAGGAAGACTTAAACGCTCAATGATCAACTTAAGGTTCAGAGAACCCGACTCAAACAGTCAACAGCTCCGAGAGCTAAAGGGTGGTTCAAAGAACTTGACTCAAAGAGTTAACAAGCTCAGAGAGCTTACGGTCCCTGTTCCAGGGGGGCCAAACGATTCAAAGAATCAAACGCACAGTGCACAAGGAGTAGCTGCCTTAACAAGGCGTTGCTACCTCCTTAACGATCACAAGACGCCTTAAAGAGGCACGTGTCTATCGGATCAAAATGGGAACTGAATTTTATTTCTTCTTTTAACATAAAAGAACACCTTAGAACAAAGTAATTAACCTACTCGCTAATGTCTTAAATAAACCTCTTAAAAGATCTCGTAATCAATGGTTGACAGACATCAGTCTTCAACACTTGATACTGTGTTCTAAATTACTTTAAAGGGGACCCATCCCTTGTGTGCACCACACCTATTGTCGACTATCAGTCGACGTGCAACCCCGTTACAGTAACCCTCAACTTGATATTCGCAAAACACACGACGCCAATACATGTATTGCTTGTGATTTGAACAGACTTCTCCAACAAAACATTCGATCAGCGACTAGCATTGTATTGCATGTTTTCCATCATGCCGCACGAGCCGACACTCGATCTGCATCTCTATGGACAAAGTTGTATGTTGCCCATTCTGGCTACTTAGGGCTTACAGGTTATTGACCAAACTTAGCGAAATACGGGAGGTTAATCCTCAATGCAGGACTCGTATAGAAGGACGCACTTTTGGCAGCTCTCCGCAGCATGTTTCGTTGTTTTGACAAGTGCGGTGCCATCTAAGAGCTTCAGCGCTACTTTCACCAGCTTTTGCCATACGTGGTTTCCAACGTGACCCTATGTATCGGCTACGATAGCCTTAAACACCTTAGATCATTAAGAAATAGACCATATGTGTGGTCATTGCTTTGCAGACAAAACATACCACAGTATGGAGTTGTTGTGACTACATCCTACTTGCTGCTCACAAATATAAACCGACATCGCAAAGTAGCATGAACACACCCAGTACTTGTCTTGCGTCAGCATCTTTATTCTTGCAATGGACTTTTGTTTGCATGACCGAAGAACTGCAAAAATGAGGTATGACCCTGTAAGGTGGAGCACTCAAATCACCCCGCACGTCAAAATTTTCACGTCTTACTGATGGTTGAGCTACATGAAGGATGTCATGAAGGTCGTCAAGTCTCTGTATCTCTCTCAGCAGTTCAAATGATTTGGAGCAGCATGTCCTTCTTCGGAAGCTGCTCTTCGCCCTTCATGCTGATCAGTCGTTTACCAAAGACGCTGAAGTGGTAACCTGGCTCAAAACGGTCCGTAGGATTCGTGCGGACCAAAAACAGCATGACCAAACCTACTAAAATGACGATGAAGATGTCGACCACCGTAGAAATGTAAGCCTCGCTGATGGAGATCCCGGCAGCGATGTTGCTGCCGTAGGCATTGTTAAATGTAATGCCACCTACAACGCCCCCAATCGACCATGCTGTCAGGATCAGTCCGTGCATCGCACCTATGTTGAAAGCGCCGAACATGTCGGTCAGGAACGCTGGAATAGTACCGAACCCACCGCCATAGCATGCCGTCAGAAGAAATATCTCCGCCACGAACGCCGTGTATTGGTTCTTGCGAATCAATGTCGGGGTTGTGCCCACAATGACAGCCTGCAGGGTCAACGTCGTGTAGAATACGCACTTGCGCGCAAAGGAGTGCTCAATGTTATAGTACCGGGCAACGAGATCCGATGCCAGCGAGAAAAACAGTCGACCAAAGCAGTTGAAAACGCCGTTGATCGACACGATGCTAGCCGCTTCATCCGCCGATCGGCCGAAGATGTCCGTGCACATGTTTGATAGCTTGGACAAGACGACCAGCCCGTAGATTTGGTTCGCGAAGAACATAAGGTACATGAAGAGGAACTCCATTGTCATGATGGCATCGACAAGCGATAACTTGCGTACCTGGGCGTTCGTGCTAATGATGAAATCAATGTCATGGTCAGACGCATCCGACACGTAGCGATCTCTCATCTCTACATGATCGGTCTCCATTTCAGCCTCATTCACCTTTTCACCGTGAATGTTCATCCCGGCAACAGTAAACTCGAGGTGAGGCGTGCGCAAGACGATAGCACACAAATACATTGCGCCAGCCATTACGCAACCCACGACGAGGAAAGTCGACGAAACTCCAACGGCTTCGATACACGGTCGATAGACTTTCGCCCATGCCACAGCTCCGGCGCCGTAACCTGCGACAGCAAAGCCTGCTGCTGTACCACGGTAATCTGGAAACCACTTCTGCAGTGCCGACACTGGTGCAATGTAGCAAAGCCCCATGCCAAAGCCGCAGAACAGCCCATAACCAACGAAAACTGCAGCAATGGCTTCAAACGCGAGACCAATAGCCACGATAATATGACCCGCTAAAAAGAAGGAAGTGCCAAGTACGACACCGTAGCGTGGACCATTTCGCTCGATCCAGGGGCCCATGATAGCCGTTGTGGTGCCAAAAGTGCCAACGGCGATGTAAAACGAGTTGACAGCGTACCCAGCCGCCGCATCGTCGAAGACATGGTTGTCAATGGGCTTGTTGAACACTGACCACGAGTAAAGGGAGCCGATGCAGAACTGCACCACGAAACTCGCCCAAAAGAGGTACCACCGCGAGAAGCGCAAGCATCGCGCCGAGTAGTACCGGTCCTTGCCCAAATAGACGGTAAAGAGCCATTCTTCGGCATCGTACTGCTCTGGTGAGCACAGTTTCCTCGACACTGTCCAGTGGTTCGTGATTTTTGCTTGAACACTTTGGATGTATCCGTTTTTCTCCCCCTTTGTCTGCATGCTGGATAGCGCGAGGGACCTCGGGTCACCGAGCTTTGCAGTTCAGGGATCTTGGCTTGTTGCTCGTCGAAAGAGAAATGCAAGAAACTTGACACTACACGTTTAGCTGCAGTTGTATCGCAATGAAGTTGATACGATGTAAAAGACGTTTGCATATGCTTGTGGGTGCGCAGGTGGTAAGGCGCACATTTGTCAGCATGCAGAGAGAGTGTAAACAGAAGAGAACGAGTTCTTATCTGGTCTTTGAGTTTTTCATAGTGAAAAGCAGTACTTCAGACAGAAGTCCAGGGAAGGCTAGTGAGTGGCTGACGCGTCGAGAGCTTCAACATGAGTTATCTCGCTCCATACCACACAGCGGATTTGCTAAGCGTTAGTGCCGATTTTCCTTTCCAGTGCCCCGAAGAGAGCTAGCTGCAGCTGTTTACAATGTTAAGGCTCACGATGCTCGTGTTGTGGCAATGTACTGCATGACAAGCTGCTTGGCAGACCACCTGATCTAAGCATCTTGCGAGTCCAAATCCACTGCCCTTTCGATGGGCCGACGATATTACTGATGGACATGCCGATGAATGCACACTCTACTCGTGGGAATGGAGTCACTTTACGTGGACTACTCTATGTCCGTACGCTGCTGCTTTTCTTCACCTTCTGTTCACGACGTGTGACAGAGGCTATAACAATGGTGACGAGCCAGGCAGTGGATACATTCGTTACGCACAACACGGGCTTGTAACGCGAACGATTGTGGTGATCAAGATGCGACGGGTAGTTAAGATATGCGCCTGTCCTCTATCCGAGACTCTCCCTCTCGACGATAAGCTTTAGGTGGTGATGATCAAGGCGCGTGAAGGCTTTAGCAATGTCGGGCTCGCGGGTGATGGCCGTTGAGTGCAGCTATGCTGCCGCAAATGCTATATTCCGCGTACACGGTGGTTATCCGTACGTCGTGCTCAAGTTTGGGGTGCCGATGGTAAGCGACAACGTACCGAGTACCACACTAGTGGGGGATGGCGGGATTTTATCGCACCGACCCAAGCTTGCTTCGGTCGTACAAAATGCCTTCGCTCGACATGTTTACTTAAACGAAAGTACGATTGACAAGGTACGTTTGATGTGGTGCAATCTCGACCAAAAAGCTGGCACCAAAGCGACATCATTCCGCAATGCGAGTTGTTGCTGAGAATACATTGAGTGCTGTCACTGTAGCATTGGGTGACCTGCTCTGTCGACACTTCACCTTCACTCATGATGGTCTTGCGGGTGGGCATGGTCGTCTAATGTCCGTCGATCCCGCCTCAGACAGATCTCCATGGACTTCGAGTCCATGTTGCAGGTATTTGGCAACTAAACGCCGGAATGAGGTGACCCGCAAGGGTAGCAAAGAATTGAGATCCGAGCCGAGAGATCAACTTGCGTTGACCGAAATTGGTCAGCGAACGCGCTCCAACCGACAAACGACTTTCATCTACAGTAGTTTTGTCTTTTCTTAGCGCAGCGCTACTGTATGCTAGGCAACTGCAATGGTGATGTTTGTAGCATCACCACCACTCATCGCATACGCTATCGTCTCGATGTTTCAGCTCCAAGGTCGTGTTAGCTGAATACAATCACCATTGGAGCTAGGCGTCAAGAGCAGTGCCGCATAAAACGACATACGTACTCCGTAGTTCACCTCCATCGATCCTCGAGCTGCTTGATCGATCAACTTACTATTGATACAAATGTGCTACAAACATTCACCTTCTCATGCGTCGCTCGGCAGCGGACCTTCCTCCTTTGTAGTAGAATCCTTGGGCAATATGCTGATCACGCGTTTGCCAAACAGCGAGTAGTGGTAGCCCCTCTCAAATCGGTCGCGCGGGTTCGTGCGTACCATAAAGATGAAGATACTTGTGATGCACACCACAACGAGGATCTTGTAAATACCGTCCACGTATGCGTCATCGGGATGATCGCCATTCTTGATAGCCAAGTTGTACTCAGCATTAAAGCTGAGCCCACCAGCTACGCCACCCAACGACCATGCCGTCAGGATGAAGCCGTGCAAGGCGCCGATGTTATATGCACCAAACATGTCGGTGAGAAAGCATGGGATTGTGCCAAATCCGCCTCCGTACGATAGCGTGAGCAAGAACACGAGCGCCACAAAAGCTGTGTAGCTCTCGTTGCGAATCAGCGTTGGAAAGATGGCGATGATCGTGATCTGCGAGGCCAGTCCAACGAAAAAGAGGCACTTGCGCGCAAAAGCGTGCTCGACCTTACTTCTGCGCACAACCAGGTCCGAGATGAGAGGGAAGAGCAGCCGACCAACGCAGTTGAAGACACCGTTGATGGACACGATATTGGCGCCTTCGTCGGCTGTTTTGTCAAAGAGTGTTGTGCACATAGTCGAGAGCTTGGACAGGACGATCAGACCGTAGAGTTGGTTGCCGAAGAACATAATGTACAGGAAGATGAAGTCAGGGGACGTTATAGCCTGGACAAGTGTTAGCTTCTTCACTTGCGAGTTGGTGTCGCCGTCCATCTTCACAACGGTTGTCCCCTCCACCTCACGGGCTGCTGGCGTCGTGGCCGGATCGTACCCGCAGGCAGAACCGACACCCAGCTTCTCACTGCGCTGGGAAGTCTCCTCTACTTCTCGGACAACTTCACCGTGCATGTTGAGTCCCCCAGTGCAAAAGGTAAAGTGGGGGTTGCGAAGACAGATCGCACAGGCGTATAGTGTGACCACCATGACGCCTCCAATAATGATAAACAAGTCGGCAACACTAGTTGCATCGATGATCGGGAGGTAAGCTTTGCCCCAGACCACGGACCCAGCACCGTAACCACCGACGGCAAAGCCAGCAGCAGCACCACGATAGTCTGGGAACCACTTCTGCAGGGCCGACACGGGCGAAATATAGCACAGACCGCTGCCAAATCCGCAGAATAGTCCATAGCCAACGTAAAGACCGACAATCGACTTGGCGTGCAGCGAGATGCAGCTGATGCCGCACCCGATGAAGAAGGACGTTGCACCAAGCACGACGCCGGCGCGAGGACCATTGCGCTCGATCCACGGGCCCATGATGGCCGTTGAGGTGCCAAAGACACCCACAGCGATGTAAAAAGCGTTGACCGCCATCCCTTTGTTCTTGTCACCGTAAATGAGCATGTCGATGGGGTTGTTGAGCACGGACCAGGAGTAGAGCGAGCCCATGCAGAATTGCACCATGAAACTAGCAAAGAAGAGGTACCACCGACTGAAGGTGATCCACGGCAGCGTCATGTATTTGCCAAGGAGATAAGCAGTTAGCAGATATTTCTCGGCTGCGTCCTGCTCCTCGGACCGAACCTTATCGGGTACCGTCCAGTGCTTCAGAAGAGCTCCGGTGAGTTTATCGCCGCACGATTTGGCTGGAGGTGCTTCCTGCTGGACGGACTGGTCAGACATGATTTTTATCAAACAGACACGAAAGCGAGCAGCTATGGCGATGGAGAGGGGGGAGACGCGATCTTTGACGCTGCCAAATGAAAAGTGAGGGTATGAGAACGGCGACTACTTGCTGTCGTACGCCGTTCCTCGCGGGCTGCGCATTGGACACTGCCACGTTGAAGTAGAACCCGTTTCAACAGTGGCCGCGCTCACAAGAATCAGCTGAACAGGCTGTTGGTGGCCGCCGCTTTACGAAACAGCGTCCAGATGGGATTGGCCTGCAGCGATTTGCTTCATGAATGGTTTTCACGAGCATCGACTTCACCTGTTCGTCACAACAGTCAAATAGGCTCTTTATGCGGATCACACATCCGGCGTTACATTAAATGATGCGTTGTTCGAACGATCGCAGAGCATTACGCCACATGTGCCAAGCAGATGCAGATAGAGGGAGGCGAGCGAGCGACTCATTGACATACATGTGCGAAGCCCAGCATTAGCTCACGCGAACGTGTTGTGTTGCGGAAACGCGTGGCCAGTTGTGGAGATGGACGGTTTCTCAACGGATGCAACGGTGTAGAGAGGCGAAGGTGCTGGACAACGATATAGATCCGGCCCCTACATAGCACTTCGATGACGATATGAACGACGGACGGACCCCAAGAACGATGCTCTGCATCTTGTAGAGTCAAACCATCTACATGATCACTACATTACGCATTGCGACGATTCACGCGTCCGCTACTCCAGCCTGATCACATTGCAAATCGATTACGATGGTCCATGTAGCATGCAGAGCACGGACTCGGTTGAATCTACATGGTCCAGAAGCACGACATTCTTTCACGACGGTCATCGATTCGGTCGGCGTCATCGGACGAGGAGATGCGGCCCTTTTGCAAGCCAACATTCTGTGTTGGACGCGTGCACAGTTCTGTGGTGCCATGACCTCGATATCCAGGCATTCCGGGCGGGAAGCCAAACATACTGCTACCGCGTGCAAAGAAGGCGGCAGGTGAGTGAATAAATGTGTCTCGACTAGAATGGAGTGATACGGATGAAAATGACCTCTGGCCACTCGACCTTCTTCTTTCGTATTCGTTTGCCTTCGAATGAGAGAAATAATACCGGGCAGTGCATACGCGAATCGCGAGTACGTCTCGGACGTCTAAGTGTGGAACATGTCAAGCGACAAGGAGGACCAAAATGTACCCGCCCTCTGTGCAAATGTCCGGTTCTTTTTACCCTTGCCCGTTCGTGTTATATATGACGAGTTTTGTATACGGAACGCTCGAGGCTCTACCTTTCATCGAGACCGATAGTTTTTAGCGGCCAAGTAAAAATGCTGCGGAGGAATCGTCGATCCCAACGTTGTCGCAAGATCGAAGAGTCTGCAGATTGCTCTGCATTATGTGGACCACCCCAAAGCGTTAACGAAGCTGTTGAGTGCGCTTGGTGCGAAGTGACGAGGCGCTGACAGCGGTTGTCTAGAGCAAGACCTTGAACTGTCAAAATCCTCGAATTTGCAGATCGTAGTAAGCTGCTTTTCGTCTGATGTCGTTGCAAGTGGTGGAAATGCATTACTAATGGAGAATGACGTAACACCTACGCCGTGTTGTAGCGCATTGAAGTGGTCCGGTGGTACAACGCGCAGACATGCGGCTGCCTCGTGCAAGTATATGAAAAAATTGTTGTACGCGAGAGTCATTACTTGACCTTGTACAAACTGGCCGTACCTTAAAACAGATCCCATCTCATGCTTCGGTTTTCACACACCAGTACCAGCCTAAGTTTACACCTGTGGTAGTATAAGCAACTGCAATGATAACGTTGTGGACAGGTGCCGTGAACGTTTTTTCAAGTACACTGTCATGCAAAGACACCTAGAATGGGACGCTCATTCGAATGAAGGAAAAGCGCCCGAACGGTCATATGTGTGGATGATTGAGAATGCACTAAAGAACTAGGTAGAGAAAATAATGCATCACAGGGTGAATGACTAAGAAACGTCCTACAAAATGAGAAATCGAACCCCACGATTCGAGGTAAAAAATAGAAATATGCAATAGGAGATAATGAAAGTAAGATCGTTCGTACAACAAGACTGCACAGTTTAAGATCGGATGTACACATATGACTGATAAATTTCACACGATCAGCGTATCTCTTTAGACTTCCTTCTTTACCTCGATTTGCAAGGGAACTTCAACCTTCAATCGCCGAACGTCATGGTCGAGCGAAAAAAAAGCGCGATGACTGCTTAAGCGCAGCTCTTTGACCGTTTTTGCGGTCATGCGAATAGTAACGCGCGCTGATAGAGCACACGATGGAGGTGACACTCTTCGTCTGTCATAAGCGAATCTAGATATGGTGGGATAGATGATATTGATCTGGATATTTTCGTCTGGATAGTGCGAAAATGATGCGATACTCGCGTTGTAAACGGTATGTATTATGCGGTAGTGTCACTTGCCCGGGAGCTATCCTTACATTGAACAATTGAAAGATCAAGTACCAAAAATGGGATCTATCACCACCAAAACGCTTGTACTGGTGGAAAAAGCAATGCTTAAACATATGTCGTGGGTGCGAATGGTGGAAAAATCAATACTAAATTATATGTATCGTGTCAGCCTTTTGTGCCAACACTTCAACATGCAGTCCACCGGCAGCGCACTTGACCAGGTCAAGTTGTACATGGTTTATGTTCAGTCAGTTAGTCAGTTCACCCATCATCATATGATGGTACTACGTGGCATGAGTATCTCCTTGTCCCATATGTCACGATATCTTGATAATTGACATAATGATCGCATCTCTTCGTCCCATCTGTCAAGTTATGACTTATCATACAATCAGGTGAGGTCAGAACTTACCTGTAACATGCCTCGCACTTAAGCACCATCGTCTTCACAACATTTCCAAAACAATATATTATAACAGTTTGTGCAACGAACGGTAAACATCCGTATTTGCCGTTGCTAGTAATTGCCGTTGCTGCATTACTACATGTACCCACTGCGGGAGCTTCACGTGTTGCGCGCTATCGTAAAAAGAGATATAATACATGATCGATGGCATTATACATGTACCTTCTACGAAGCAAAGTTGCCCAAATGGCGGATAAATTTATATTCTTGATATGCAACCAAACTTAATCCGAATTTGAGAAGGTGGTTTCAAAGCGCATGTAGTGTTGGTGGCACGACTCGACGAATGATCTCCATTTAATGACTGTCCAGAACATAAAATCTCGTGATCGTTACTACAACGGGGTCACACGTCGGTTGGTAACCGACATTACTTGTGTGGTTTACACCAGGGACGAGATCCCATTAAAAAGATATTAGAACAATGTATCAGTCGTCGGGGGGACGTGTGCCAGTCACCAAATACGAGATCTTTTTGAAGGTATTGATGACATCATTAGTGTCTATATTAGGTAATTTTAGTATGAGGTGTTCTTTTACATAAAAATAAATAAAGTACAATTCTCCTTTTCATCTAATAGAGATACGTTCCTTGTCAAGGCGTCTCAGGTCATCGGGGAGTCAAGTCTTGTCAAGACGCAGACTCGCCAGCACACTGTGCAGTCGACCCACTGAATCGTTTAGGTCCCTTAAACAAGGACCTGGAGCTGTAAGCTCGTTGAAACGTAAAACTTGTTCTTTTAAAAAAGCTACCTTGCTTGCTGAGAAAAAATCCTTCCTTGGGCAGGAGCTGTACCATCTACGCTACATGTACACACAAGGCGATTTCCATCTTCTACTAATGTAACGTTAAGTGCGGATGTAGATGGTTATGATGCTTGACGGCACGGAAGCAAAGAAGATCTAGATACAGGTTCAAGGACATGACAGTAGATTTACCAAGCTATGAGTGCGTGGTAGAGCGCGGCGGCGCGCCCGTCGCCGCAGAAAGGAAACATGGCTTTCTCCTTTAGATTAACGTTGATGTTTCGAGGAGTGTAATGTCGCTGATAACTACAGTAAGATGTGGCACCGAAGGCTGGATCACGCGTCTAATGGCACCTTAAGCGGAATAATCAGGGACGTAAGGATGAATATAGTGGACATGAATTCAAACGTTGTGAAGTAAACGCAACCTCATCTCTCGCGCTCAAGTCGCTCAAGACAAGCGAAAAGACGCCGAGCTCAGGGAGAGTACGCGTACCGATATGGTGCTGACTTCGAACGTTCTGATACAGATTATGCCAGCTTTCAAATATATTTGTAATAATTTGTGCGTTGATTATGATAAATAGACCGTTGGTGACGGTCAATTGGTTGCAAAAAAGGGAAAGATGTTGCGTGCTTTTAAGATTTCTATCAAGATATTAAAACAAAGTCTTAACAACGATCAAGGTGATGCGAAGCGGGCCGGCTGTGAGTATCGGAATGCGTCAATGGTGTTGATTTTGAAATGCTATATATGTAAGGACGAATGCATCGTACCGTATAATTATGAGCAGAACTGCATAGTGGATCAATTAAATCGCTCGCTCGTGGAGAAGAAGTGCTGCATGGTAAGATTGAGCGGCCTTAACAAGTCGTACTGGTGCGAGGTGTTGATGACGGCGCAGACATCCGGAATGTACTGCGAGTTGCTTCGATCAGTATTAAAAACCCGTACAAAATGTTGGGCTAGTGAGAGCCGCATCTCGATTGCATGCGCGTGTCGGTGCGCAATGTGACGATCAAGTAAGGAAGGAGAAGAGAAAGAAAACGGATGACTTGGAAGCAGATGTTAATTTATCGGCTATTATGGGTCAGAAAAAATATCGTCTTTTCAATGCGAAAGGCGGCTCGATTTTGATTACAAAAAGTGTGATGTTCGCAAAGCATGTCACCTCAACCGTCCCGAACAACAGGAACATGTGGTTCCTTGACTTCATTATAAATGAGGATATTGTGGATTAGTGGACGTCCTGAGAAGACGACGTAGATTTACCACGTACCGAAGAAGAATTGCGCACTTCACCATTACGGGCCCACCACAGCTTGGTTTAAGTCGGTCAA